GCGCATTTGTAGTTTGATAAAATAAAATATCTATACTCCCACGAAAGTTGGACTATCATCGTGACATTGAATGACGTCATGGCAAATGACGTCATCACCTTTTGCGTCATCGATGACGTCATAGATTTTTGACTAACGTGCGAAAAATCCTAGATCCGCCCCTGATGCTGATCTCAATAATATCAGAGAATAATAATAATAATATTTTCTATCAAACAGGCTTTCTCTTAACCTTGTCAAAACGGAATATCTTTTGAGTGGATCACGCCACAATATTAACACGTTGGAAGAACAACGACGTGTTTTTATTCGGGATGAACCAATTAAAGGGGTTCAAGTTACAAAAACTCTTGGAGTCAAAATTGATCAATTTTTAACTTGGGACAGTCATATTGACCAAATTTCCAAAAAAAATCTTCTGGAATACGTGCCATGAAAAAGATAAAGGATTTTACTAATTCTGATACTTTGAAGTCAGTCTATTATGGTCTTGTCCAACCCCATTTCGACTACTGTTGTGAAGTTTGGAATTCCATTAAGAGAGGCCAGTCTGAACGACTACAAAAACTTCACAACAGATGTGCTATAGAATTATAATGAACTTTAAAGATGAGCCTGGACAATCTCAACTGGCCCTCGATCAAGTAGGGTGGATAAGCTTGGAAGAAAGGCGAAAACATATTATGGCCCGTCTCATGTTTAAGGTTGTCAATAATTTGGCACCATCGAGGATCTCATCAATGTTCCAGAATTCCAAACATATCCACAGTTATAATTTACGAGGTCCAAATTCGTCTCTCTTTCTGCCCCGACCAAATACCGAGTATGGCAGGAAATGTTTTCGATATAGTGGGGTTAAAATATGGAATACCACTCCTGAACAAGTAAGAAACAGCGAATCTTTAAATTCTTTCAATAGAAATATTTCCTCTGTTAGTCTGACGAATTAGCTATTTGACTTTTGTATATACCATTTGTTTTGTAATATGTATTTGTATTCGTAGTTCTTAATATTCTTAGTGATTTTGTATTTTATATATTTTTGTTACATAATTTATCTACGCCCCACTTGGAAAGCAGCTCCGGTTGAAGTGGCCAGCGTAGTCAAATAAAGTTTTATCTTATCTTATCTTATCTTATGTATAAAACTCTTAATGACTTTTTTAGTCACTATTTTGTGGTTAAATAGTGATTAACTCTCAAATACGCCCTTCTTATTGGATGACGTTTCCGCAACTATAGTTAACTTTAATAATGCACTTTTTTATACAACCGGTCCCTGCCAATCAAATGTCACGAAAGTGTTGGAGTTCTCTTTTAGTGACTGATGAGGGTCACGAAAACTCATCTGGCCTGATCTGGCCTTTACTGTAAATTTTGTCCCAACTACAGCCTGTCCATACGACTATAATGAAAGATTCAATGTGATGTGTTTTGCTTACCAAGTTTGCTGATACCGCTGTCGTTATCAAACCATAAGGACCATTGACAAATATACCACTTACAATCATGAGTCCTAAATAGAAAAAGCAGGAAGACGGAATTAAAACCCGCACAAACGCTGG